AGTTCATCAGAAATCACTCCCCGGAGTTACCAATACGATATACTAATCATGAGACAAGTTGGCGATTACGTTTATGATACAACTGGGGGTGAATTTCCGACTGACTGAAAATAAGCTACAAGGCGCACGCTTACAGGTGGATTATCTCGTGAAGACCACATCTTACATTCGGCTGTATTCCCACTGTTGTAGAGGACTGTAAGAAAATGTTGTGAAACCTTGTTGCAGTTTTACAGTGTAGCCGGTTTATGCAAATTTTGTATTAAGAATTATCGGTTCGGTTGATTTTTCAGGTTGAATTATACTTCACAATGTGACGTGGGTCGAAATACAAGGGATTGCATCTAAAAAAATGGAAAATACTTGTGTGCTGGCTTGAAACTATGTTATAATTTCAATGGACTAAATTCGGGGCACATTGTTTGTCAAACATCCGTTTTTACTGATATAGGGATAAAACGCATAAAATTGCAAATTTCAGTCAGCAAAATGGTTGTTATGTATAGACGATAGGTGTGAGTGATCAAAGGGGAATTCTCAGTTTTGCATTAACTGGAATTTTCTAAAGCAGTGAAGAAAACAGGAAGGTTTCCTCTGTTTTGATTTTTCGGCCGTTATGGGGACGAATTTTCCAGAGGCTTTGATACATCCTGCTGGAATATGGTTATCGCCTGTCTCGAAACGACCCGTTCGACTGCATATACCTCATACATTGTACCTTGCTTGTATTTGTGCGTTCAGTTCAGTAGTCGATAAATCTCACATGCAAGTCAGCTTTTCACAGGTTGCTTCTCGTTTCGCCCTAGGCAGCGAATGCACAATACCTTTGCCTACTCTTTGTCCAGTGCAGACAAACTTCAAAAGCTCGTTCACCCTTTTCCACTTTTTAAATGAGTATGCTTACTGTTTTCTTCTATTAGTTCATAAAAACATTTTAAGCAAGGATTGCTTGATCGTACCTCTGAATACCGGCGCACAATAAAGATAAAACACCTATTTTCTCAAGCTACTGGTGATACTTAGTGCCATGTCAATGATTATGGTGATCATTTCGTTAAATATCCGTTTCGTACTCAGGAAAACAAATCTACACAGAACAAATACTTCTCAATGCAATGCAGGATAAAGCTATTTTTGCTCACTATTGTTAAATGAAACGTGATGCGCTAGATGCTTCTCCTGATTAGGACTGATAAACGTGCATTATACCAAACTTATCTTTGACACGCGGAAAAACTCCACGAGGTATTCGACGATTCCCTAAGGTGCATCTGAAGTGGAGTATTGAACAGAAGCGTCATGAGCTCGGTGATGCTACACGGTCTGCGATTTCAAAATTGAATTCCACTATAAAAACATGGAACTTCCGAGTTTGTGTCGCTATATTGTTTGCAATCCTTGTGTTAAGATCTATTTGAATCCATAAACATTCCAATGATTGAACGACAGAAATTCACGAATCCAAAGGGAAATGTCTGTACAGAAAGCAGTCAAACCGTTGTTTATTTACCCTGGGTCAAAATTGTCTAGCAACCTATTTTCAGCAAGATTGATGTGCTTCGTGACACATTCAAATGTGGGTAAATGGAATTTCCGTTTTTGAATTCGATCTCAAATGTTTGCGATCCTAGAGCACAACTGAAGATGTTTGTGGATTTCTGTTTTACGAATATTTTTGTCCGTAACGATGAAATTGGGGGTCTGAAAGTATGACATACCAAGAGATACGGGTTTATTCCCTAATTTAGAGGAAAATAAATAATTGCTCCAATAAATAAAAGATAGTTGGCGTATTATATCAATTTTGACTGGTTACCTACCGAAATCCTGAGGGATAATTACTGGTTGAACCCTGGAACTCAGATCAGCAATAGTGTGTTGCTTTCTTAGCATTCTTCGTTGATTTTCTGGGAATACCGTGGTCGCAGGAACAATCGGCGACCTGTCAGGGACATGGGGCTCGGGGGACCTGAAACAGTGGACAAAATTCAACTGCTTTAGTAGTAATGTTGCAAAGACGGTGCCTACGTGTGACCATAATCTTCACTACAAACAAGGCCGTGTAAAGTATTGATTGTCTCTGCTACGTCAGCTCACATATTTGGTATCTCTTCCGGAAAGAGCGTAGACTTGACAAAGGAGATGTCCTAAGTAGCCAAACGTTGGCTGAAATTGCATACTATATATATACTACTTGGATAATATGTAGATGTTTTCGGATTCGGTATGGTGCACAACATGCTATTTATGATGTGCACTGTGTAAGTACACGAAACCTATGCAGGGATATGTGTAAGCATATAAGCTTACTAAATCTTCTTTGAGCACTGTGCTCGTGGCTTCTTTGCAGTCACGTTTAATATTTTATTTAAAAAACTGGTCTGCTACTTGTGTAACCAGCGAAGGGAGCAAAACGGACAATGAGCGTCGGCACATGGCTGAGAGACTGTGCAGTTATTGGTGCAATGGTCAATTTGGTTTACCGATAACTCTGCACTGAATCATTTGGCACACAGTTTCAAGGCCCCTGACGCCTATTGCAAAACAGTGTTGTGTAGTATGAGGTTTCGCTGTCAGCCTAACGTCTTGCAGTTGATCCAACAGAATGCAATACTGGTGTGGTGAGATTACATAAGAGACGGGTGAATAAATCTTCTGGATGTGAAATGCAGATCAAATATTGGTTTTTTGGTTACGTCTTTATGACCGACGTGTTTGTAGGTTGGTTGCCATAGGCAGAGAGAGTTTTGGAGTGCCAAATCAAGGGTAAGCACAGAGATTTCTCATCGTTCACCTCACCTGATGCATTGTTGGCAATTTTCTGACCGATCTAGATACTACTGGGTTTACAGCTGAGTTAGTTTTAATCAGAGATTACATTCCTATTTTACTTGTCTGTTTAAGTCTAATCTCTTTACATTTGTAGGCGCCGTTTAGACCGTAAAATTTTATTGAACACTATTTTTTATTGAAGTTATCCTCGTCACACCAAACCTCATTGACCAATGGATATTTCCATTAATCATCCTTAGAATAAAACTCAGTTTTAATCTTTGACATTCATCTCAAATTAGGTAGTGCTGCGAGGCTATATTGCGAACAAAAGCTTGAATTTTGTGCTCACTTTTGGAAGAGAATAACGCCGAATGTATGTGCAAAGTCAAGTAGACTAGCACTCTAATACCATCTCCACATCTCTCAAAAAGTTTGCTTCCAAGCTGCATTTATTGAACAGGTCCACCAATCTTTAAAATTCTCACACTACCATGAGAGCACCACTGAACGTGCCATTAAGGTCAAAATCTTCAAAATTAAGTTTACTGTATAGAAGCCAGTAAGGGCAGAGTATATGTCATATCATGACCGCCTAACGTCAACTTTCTTTGTATCATTAAACAAGGAGAGAATTACACTAGTGGCCTGCGCAATGCATGTTTTTGGAAACCCTACTGAATGCATATCTTAAAATACCTCAGAACCCCGGGAACCTCTTCGCTGCTTTTAATCCCCTTGCCAATACTTAATAAGGAGTAAGCACATCGAATATTGCCCGACAAATTTAGGCACGAAGCGCAATGAAAACGGACCTGAAAAATTTCAAATGATCAGACAGGTGAAGTTGTCTGTTTGTGTACTTATTTACATTTTCAAAAACTACCGCGGTATTATTTGAGTCTGCAGCTTTAGGTCTTTGGCATTTTCGAGTTCACTCAGGACACCTACAGATTCACCAGGGCAGTCTAAGTTGTGGATGCAATTGTTAGTTCCAGAAGTGTGCCAAATGCTGAAGGAGCTAAACCACGTTAGTAAGCTCTCTCCCCTATATGATCGCCGTACGGTTTTACTGTGAGTGAGAATTAGTGACTGGTACGTCTCAAAATCTCCCTGCCTTTACAACCCGCCCCACAAAAGTGAGGAGACCACAAATGTGCTTTCTTCTCTCGATAATTTACAGTTCTTTTTATAGACACTGGGGCCCAGGTGAAGTATGGTGGTTATCTATTGGACTATTTTATTGAAACTATAGCAGTAAAGGACTGTATGCATTCAATTAATAAAATTGTTTCACCATTGTTTCCAACACATAAGCAACTGGAAGCAGATATATTTGTTTTCTAAACTGATGCCATTAAGACCTACACTTCTGACGTGTGCTGTCATACAGTCACGGGCTTGTCAAAAAGTTATTGCTTTGGTTGTTACGGAGGCATCTTTCGTGCTTGTAAAAAGCGAGGCCGATAAGACAACCAGAAATGTTGCCCTGTTGATTTGTAGGGCATGACACGATCGTGGTTGGCTATTTATATGCAGGTATTTCTCACGCCATCACACTTACACTCAGGATTATCTGGATGACTGGAAAATCGCCACCCATAATAAAAGACCAAAACCGCTGAGTGCTCTCGCACAGGTCTTCAGAGCAATGCTGATCAAATGAGCGACAGATTTATCTATCAAACCATGGCTGTTACAAAGTGCATCAATGTGCGTGATGCTGAGATAAGAGAACTACCTCCTTACTGTGTTGATCCACAGTTACCAGAATTTAACCGAGTGCCAAGAAATTTGCCCCAAAGATGCGCATTAAAATATGACCCCTGTCTGGTCCGATCATATAAGTGGAAGCTTGAATGATGAAAAATTTGTAATGAGGGGTGAACTGTGAAGCGATTAGTTTATTATCAACCAATAAATACATCCTACTAGTCCCGGGTAACCAGTAACAGTTTAAGTCCAGCTTCACAGAATGCATTGCAATCAATTTTACACAATTCATCTCAGTTTTCTCGCACCATTAACTACGGAGAATCTATTTCAGGTTTTCTTATGCTGATGTGCACTGTGTATCCTAGGGATGAGACGACTTAGTGGTTAAAGCACGAGTTTACTGAGAGGATGGTCTGTGGAGGTCACCTATCCGATCACGCGTCACAAACTCTCAAACCACGTGACAATCCCACTTGCAACCTTAGCCGACAACTTGAGCGCTACAAACCCTCATCCATTTTTGTTTACGCGGCTACCACTTGCATCACCCGCCAGGCTTATGAACTTCATTCAGTGCATCAGGTCAAGTTGTATTCTTGATCGTGCAAGCATCAAACACGAAGGGACACCCACTCTCGACACTGTGATCAGTAGGCATACAACTGGGCTCAACTCGCACACTCGCGCGCACAGGACAGGAAGTCAACAGAGCCCCGCAAGTCTCCACGGACAGCTACGGAACACGTGTAGCAGTTATACTGCCGAAAAGACACGTCCCACGTCCGGAGTTTCACTCAGGAACACTCAACAAAGGACCTCCAACGGTAAGTCAGTTTTTGGTTTATTCCACTTTTTGCATTGTACTCATTTTTATCAAGGGCACCTAACTATTGTATTCATCACAGTCTAGTAAGAGATATTTTTTGTGCTTTTTACATTCTTATAATCAATTTAATTACGTCACAACTACAGCACTAATAATTGGTTAGCACGACGTGAACATACCATGTCAGATCCTCTTACACAAGTTATTCCCTTACCTTCAACTGCACCGACACCAAACATCAACACCTCCTCGGTTCATCTTTCACCATTCTGGCACCACAACCCATGCATCTGGTTCAGACATTTTCAAGCTCAGTTTATCTTTCGCGCAATCACCCAAGAGCACACTATGCATCACCACGTGCTTGCCTGAAATCACAGCTGACTTGCGCGATATTTTATTGACAGCTGACCTCCCCAAGCCGTATACTCAATAACGTACGGCCATCATCAATTGCTGTTGTTTATCCGAATATAAACAACTGAACCAACTGCTAAGCGCAGATTCTCTTGATGGGTCTACCGCATCTCGACTGTTGTGACGACTTTCCAACATCATGGGGGCCGTAAAATTGATGAAACCTTGTTTAACCAGCTTTGTCTCAAACGTTTATTCACCCACGTGAAATCACGTATCGCTTCCAGTTCAGATGCTCCACTCCCTGGACTTGCCAGCATAGCAGATAGGATACTCGAAATTCAACCTTGTTCCATTACCATTTCCTCTGGCAGCGCATCGAATTCTATATCCGCCCTTCAGGGTTGGCTTAACCAGTTAGCTAATTAGACCGCGATTATCCGTATAAGCTGTTCTCAACCCTATCCTCGTGCATCTTTTATTTCGCGTTCTAATTCTCGTTCACATTCATCCTCCAAGAAAAACCATACTGTTTGTACAACACTACGTTCGGTCATAGAGCCAGGAAGTGTTCACACTCGTGTTCTTCCCGACCAATTCATTCGACTCCTCAGTCATTTTTGGGAAACTCGCAGACAGAACTACAGAGGCGAACAAAGTTCTAAGCCCAACCCATATTGCTCGCCGCCTCACAACCATCGACATACCCTCCGGTCTAAATTTTTGGTAGACATTGTGACTGACATCCACACTACACCCGGAACCGCCGCTTCCTGCAAACCCATCGCTACTTCTTTTGCACTGACGGCCGCGAATGGCTCTCCAATTATGACCTAAGGACTGAGCACTCTACCACTAAACATTGGGTT